AAGTGGAAGTTCGATGATAATTCTACCGATCTGTTGAGTGACCATGAGATTACATGCCCATCCCTCCCTTCCCAGAGGGGGAGTTTTACCTGTATTGAGGTGTTAGGTTTTAGGCAGTTGGCACATCAGGCGTTGGAAGGTGATCGGTACATGCGCAGCGCATATCTCATGTAATCTCATGGTCACTCAACAGATCGGTAGAATTATCATCGAACTTCCACTTCCAGGTAAGTGTCGTTCAATTTTAAATTTTACCCCTTCACGACCCTCATGAATCTTCCGCGTGATCGGCAGTCTGCTCGACTAAGATCCTCGTCGCACCTTCCATCGTTTTCTCCACAAAAGCTCTGTGGGCATTTCTAATTCTCTTTACTTTTCCGTTGTCCATACTTTTCTTCTTGTACCGTAATCCTGTTCTTGACGATTAACTGATGAAACTTGTTTCGCCGATCCGGCGACTGCGAAGGACCATGTAACCAAATGTTGTATATATAATCAGTTCTCTGTAGTTTTAATTCTTCACTCCATTAAAGCATATTTCTTCACATGTTCATATTTTAGAATTCTGTACTCTGTTCTACACTTAAAGGATTCATCAACATCAATTCGCGTAAAAATTCGATGATCTCAACTCAATCTACACACTTGATCAGCTCCACGACTCCGAACGACTACACAGTTCTAAGACTCTTGCAAAAAGCTCAGTTTTCAGATCACGTGACGAGTTTTCCCGCCACAATGACGCAATAATTTCTAACAAGCTATCTTTGTTCCCATGGCAGTTCCCTGGGTCTGTAGGTAATTGCTACTACAAAATTGAAATGCGTTTTCTGTTAAAATAAGTTAGAGCATTTCTGTTAAATACTTGGTAGGTATAGGGGCTTTTCCCCCAGGGGGTGGGGGTGGGGTACTCCCATATATAAGCCATCAGTCTGATAAGCCATATAGATATGTGCCGCCCCAGAGGCAAGGGTTTTTGCCCAGGGGGGATACTCCAGATTTCAAGGGACAGGGATGATTGAATGGGACTAAAAATCAAAACCCAAACAAATCCCTAGGGCTTTCAACCAAACCCACAAAAAATCCCTTGACCAAAAATTAACCCCCAAAAAATCCCATGCCGTTCTGATCTGAGCCTTAAAAAATCTCCAGAAAGGAAAACAAGTTTGCCGGTTGAACTTTAATCGCAGAACAAGAACAGAACACTATCAGGAATCTTCAGATTGTTGTTGTTCCTACATAAATCAAGCCACCCAAAACAATACTTGCCAAGTTTTACTACCCGAAAAAAATCCCGGATCGAATTTTTTTTTTTTTGGCGGGGGGGGCGGGGACGCGTTTTGGTCTGAAAACGGGTCTAGACTTTGCCTATCGGGTATGGTTTTCGAGGGAACCACGGGAGTGTATGAACGTATTTATCATTTCTGTTTCAAATGTCTAAGAAAGAAAGAAAAATATGCAAATTGGAAATAGATTTTAAAAAATCTTTTTTGCTGCTGTTCTAATTTAAGTACCGTAATGATTCGATTTAGCGCCCGGGGCGCTTATTTACTTTTCGTACCTTAAGGGAGGGCACTTATTTCTCTTTTGAGAAATAACCGAATGCTCAAAACAATACTTTAATATTCTTTAAAAATGGAACAATAACAGAAGCTGTAACGGTAAAAAATATACGGTGAATGTTCATGATTAGTTAACGTGAGGGAATTTCGTTTATTTCTACGCGGATATCTTTGACAGTGTCACTTACATAAATACCGTAAATAAAAGCTTTCTCAGTGTACTTTCTTCAACATCCAATTCGATGATTCCGTCGAAAGGATCCTTGTTTTGTACTGTGACATTACCGTTTGTGAGCAATTAAAGGAAAATAAACCTCGGCTGGTACATACCCGTACTCTAATATTGTAATATTAGATTAGGGGCGCTTAATAGAACTGGGTCGCTTATGAGAATGGAGGCGCCTAATAGACTAGGGGCACTTATTTACAGAAACACACTCGAAGGGGGGCGCTTCTTGGAAGGAAGGCGCTACATCGAATCATTACGGTAATGATGACACTATTTCTTAGAGGCCAGGTCTGAAAACGTGTGTAAATAACGACATTGTTTGGTCTGAAATAGGGTCAGAATTTGGAGATCTGGCGGCACACCCCCACCAAGAATTCCCTGGAGTACCCCACAGGGCTTTTTCTCCATAAAAATCTAGCTTGCATGACATGCGACGGTTACACAATCTTCATGCAGTATGTTGGTGTAGAGGCGAAGTTCCGAATGTCAGAAAACTTACTTTACGACTAAGTGCAGGAGTTGTGTGTTGCTCCTGCCAATTTTTAATCCAACTTTAGGGAGGAGGGAGAAATTGCCCCAAAAAGTAGGGAGGAAGGAGAAATTGGCTGAAAAAGTAGGGAGGAGAGAGATTTACCCTCCTGTAACTCCCCCCTCCGCAAATCTAAATCGAATTATGTTTGAACTTCGAACCGCAAACCGCGGTTAGAGGTTCGCGGTAAACTCGGATCTAAAACTCTCTAATCATTTTCTCTTAACAATTCAATGACTAATACCCTGCGTGCCACAGAGACTTTTACCCTGCTAGCAGAGGTTTCTTTCCCTTTGTAATTGGCTGGGCAGGCAGAAGGAAAAAGAGACTCTTTCTCTGTTCCTCCTGCTTGCCCAGCTAATTACAAGGGAAAAACGGCGTTTGCCGTCTAGCAGGGAAAGAGACTTTTCATGCACGGTTTCCTTTGGACGTGAGAATAAAGGAATCATCACCCAAGATCATTTATTTCGATGTTTCAAAGATACGCCGATATCATGGATGGAAAATTCAAATTTTGATCTTAAGGGTAAACTTTCACAAAGCCCGTTTCCGATTTTTGCTTGTTAGGTGGTCAGTCCCTCGCGTCTTCGGCGCTCACGCAGTCGTTTTATGGCAAGTCTATTTTAAGTGGCCGAGTTAAAGTGTAAATTACATGTATGAGTACTTGATTGACACATTGAATCCTGAGTTCCAACAAAGGTTTATGCTTCATATTCAGTATTTATACATCACCTAATTTAGAACTTAAACTTAACAATTTAACTCTCCATCAAAGTTCAACTAGATCTGAGTTTGAACAAGTAGAATAAATTAAACCACAATTACTAAACCAGAACCTCACTAAGTAACAATTCTTGTCCATTGAACAAGTGGAGTTAATTTTTTTTTCTTACCCCAAAAGAACATTGACAGCTGAAAGTCCTCCTCTGAATGAACTCTTATAAATTGTTTCTTTTTCATGATGATCATGGATTCTCTTATATTTTGAATCAAGTGAATGAAACTGTGATTTTATATCNTTTTTGTTTTTTTTTTTGGGGTGGTGTTGTTGGTAGTTGGTTTTTTTTTGTTTTTTTTCCGTTGTTTTTGGGTTTTTGTTTTCTCCCCTTTTTGGTCTCCCCGTTCCCTTGAAAATCTAAGCCCCCCCCCCCCCCCCCCCCCCCACACACACACACACACACACACCCCACCCCCTCGGTCCATGTTCTGTTTATGGCCGGTTAACACTCTTTTTTAACTATAAGGTTTTTAAAGCAGTCTATTGAAATCAGTAGGGCTACCAATTTACACTTCAAAAGGCAATACACAAGTACCAGAGCTGCAAATAACAGTCAGTCATCAATCAGTGTCCAGACAAAGTTAATACTAAAGATTATTGTTTTGCAGATCATAGTTATGTGACTCTACCATCACAAATATGAAATAACATTGCTGCAGTTAACAGATGACAGTAATCAGTCTATCTGCAAATCCGATGTCTACAAACTTAACCATGCATAACAAATCTCAGACGGGGTTGGACGGGCATTGTTGTTTTGTCAAACCATGAAATAATTAGCAACTTAGCTGGATGTAATATCCTTTCAAAATGAAAAACGGCTTTCAGCTATGGCTAGCAGTGGATAAACAATGTTTATTGCATACACTAGGTCACAAATCTTCAACGGAAATTACTACAGAGCCACTTCATTGCCTGGAAAAAATAAAATAGTTTCTTATTCTTAGACTCACACTTAACAGTACTAACATATTTGTATATCCAACATTTATGATGACCTTCTTGATAGATGATGACCAGGATTTTAACAAGAGCTGGGCGGGTGGGTCGTTTGGCATCAAGTCTTACTCGTAGAGGTACCACCTCCTCCCCACCCCCCTTCACTCCTACTAGACCCTTTACAGTTCTCATCTCCATCTGCTTTTGCTATCTTGCCTTCTCAATGACAAAAAATTAAAATCAAATGATTAAAATCCAAATTAAAACAACATACTGGTGCGTGACCACTATAATCACTTCATGTGTCTGTTGTATCTCAATATCTGGTAATTTTTAATCATTGCAAATAAACTCCTTTGGCAATTTCACCAAAGATGCTCTAATGTAACCTCTAGCTTCTGGCATTGTCGTGTCTACTTTTTTCCATTCATTGCATTCTGCATCATAACATTCAACACTGTCTAGAGTCCTACCTTCATTATATCCACCAAAGACATACACTGTGTCACCTACACTCACAACTCCACAGGCTGCCCGTGGAACATTGGGCTGGGTAACAGGCTCCACTGATTTAGACATGGATCAAACATCTCACAAGTTGGTTCTGTTTCTGATGATGCAGAAATCTCCATGACACAAAATCCTCCAATAACAACAATTTTTCCACAAACAGTGGCTGCTGCTGCATCCCTACGGGCATTGACCAGATCAGGAACTCTTCTCCACTGATTGGTCAGTGGATCATAGTTCTCAACACTCTTAAGACAGGTCTCTCCATCAGCACCTGCAATCACATAAATGAGATCCTGTAGAACAACAGCACAGTGACCACCACGTCCAGTTTCCATAGATGCTAACTCCTTCCATTCATTACAAACTGGATTGTACTTATGGACTGTACGTTTTACCTCTTCATCGTAATCATAACCACCGATAACATAAAGTTCTTCATTGAACGAAGTAACCGTAAAGAAGTTCATTTTTTGAATGGTGCACCCTGTTTCCTTTGACTTCCATGAATTTTTTTGAGGATTGAAACAGCTTATTGCCTGAGAATCAAGACTTAACATATATACACGTCCAAAACAAACTGTAGAGACCAGGTCAGCACAATTGTCCTCAATAAAGGGAGGGATTGAGCATAACTGCTGCCACTTCTTAGTAGAAAGGACAAAACAATAAGTTTCTCTACGAATTAAACGATCACCAATATCAACACCATCATGGAGAAACACCACGTGTTCATCTTTGTCAATTGAATTGCGATGTTTCAGCACTCTCCCTAAAAACCAATCAGGATACAGAAAATATTGCAGGCCAGTATTCATGATAGCAGTGCAAATGAGGTTCTCCTTTACTAACTCTTCTTTATTAAGAATTCTGTAAATACTGTATTTTGACATGGAGAATAATCTCAAACATTTCATTAGATCTGGGAGAAAACACTCTCTTGATGGCAGATCATGTTTGACCCAGGCTATCACCGCCTCATAAACTTCTTCTTCTTCAGAGATATTCAGCTCATCTTGACACATCAATTCTTTGACTTTGTTCAACTCAAGTGCAAGGAAATCTTCTGTTTTCACAATAGGGACAAAATTTTCATTCTTGAATTTAAGAGCTGCTTGTCTAAGCGTATCACAGTTGTATTGACAGCCAAAGGACTCCAATGTCAAGCAATTTGATACATTCATGGACTTCTCCAGGAATTGTGCAGTCCGTGATTTTAAATTGGGAATTATCAGGTAGTCAGATGCCACAAGTAGATCATGGGCGTTTGAGGCAGTTATGTTTACTTGGCCTAAATACATAAATTCCAAAACATCTTCCATTATGCTTGACTTAACCACTTTAAGCTCCACTAAATTTTCCTGTTTTTCTTTCACTTGCAACTCAGTGGAAAATAGAGCTCTAAAGTAATCAGAAGCAGCAATTAACACAAGGCTGTGAGCAGGGAAGGTTTGTCCATCTACTCGGAGCGTTGTGTCGCACCTAAAGTTCGCCTTTCTAAGCTCGTTTAAGCTTTGAAGTAATCCATCTTTGAATTCTTCGTCAGTTACTTTAGTTTGTGCTTCCCCTTGATCATTCATCGTGCAATTTTAAAAATTGGTTACTTAATTACCATTACTTCCTCGATTTCAACTCCAACAGCGACTGAAACAGAGCCATTCTTTGTCTAGTCACGCAATGCTCCTGGAGGAAGAGGCCGAGGGAGGAGCGTTGCGTGATCAGATATGTACCTCATGTAGGATGAAGCGTAAAATGCACATGAGTACTAGCCTCCATGGCAGGCGCAAAAAGGGAGGAATAGGGGTAGAAAGGCGCGAAAAGGGAGGGAGAAGATTGCAAACAAGGCTGGTGAATGTACCCGAAATATTCGAAATACAAAAGCCTGAGAAATACACTTTGCTTCAGCTTTGCAGAAGTAGACACATTAAATTCTGCAAGCAGAGAACTGCAATGCTGATCGTACTACGTGAAAATTAACTCTGCAAGACATCAACACGGCACCGAAAGAACTCAAAACAGAGCGGGATTGTAGCCATAGACAGCTGTTTAATATGTCTTCTTTTCATTTTTGCTGATCAGGTCTTTATAGATCCTACGTTCTTCGGCGTATTTGTTTGCTGTCCTTTGCAGTCCTTTGTGGTTAATGTTAGTATTTAGTCTTCTCATCTCATCATCATCTTCATAATCATCACCATCCTCTATTTGTTGTTATTAAATTAAAATCGGCAAGACAGTCCTGATGTGGACCTGCCTAACTAACAAGTAACAGATGAAAAATTATACAATACTCAGAATCAAGTCGTAGCTAAAATTGACTGAGTAGACTGAGTATAAAATGCTATAGTGTGGTAGCAGAAACTCATAAGGGGTTGAACAACCCCTTATGGGTTTCTGGTGGTAGAAAACATACATGAACCCCGAAGTAAGTCAATTAATTTCAGAATGAACTATTAGCCCTTAAAGTATGTCTACGCCCTTAACATGATCAGGTTGTAAGACCGCCGTATGTCTGGACGTAGACCTGCCAATTTCTAGCCTGCTTAGCAAGCGTTTCTGCGCGGTTCAGGAGCAAAGAATGGAAAACAAGAGACAAAGATCGCGCGAAAAATGGCGCAAGTAAAAGAGTGGGGAGGGCTTTTCAATTATGTTATGGTCAGTTAGAACAAGTTTTATATCCATGTTAAGCTTTAAACGTTAGTAGTACAAGTCGCTGTGAAAGTGTCTTAACATAAAAACAAAAAGATTGAATTCCACTGTCTCTTCATACCAGTCATGTCACTACAAAGAATATACATCATCCTATTAAAAGTTCTCTTTCATATGAATACGTTCATTGTGAATAATAATGTTAATAATAATAATAATAAATAATGCACAGTGAAACCTGTATTAAGCGGACACCGTATTAAGCGGACACCCTCTATTAAGCGGACAGTAGCCGAAGTCCCCAAATTTATTTCCCTTATTTACTTTAAATGAAACCTTTATTAAGCGGACACCTCTATTAAGCGGACGCGGACACCTAAAAAGTACCTGAAATGGTCATTTCTATTGTTGCCAACCCACTTGTAATTAAATTCCACCACCCAACACGCCACACACCGGAAATGGGAAAGATTGCCTCGAATTGCCACCAACTTATTTCTCGATTTTTACATTAAAAAACGTGACTTGACGAACTTATTTGATTAGTTTCACAGTACAGGATTGTTTTTTATTTCGTTTTGTTTGTATAGAGCTTGTTTCACTCATCTGATTTCTTCAAATTTGAGTTGCAATCCATATTTTTGGTACTATGATCAATTGGTTCACTTTGATAAAGAAATTAATGCAAACGTCTATCGTCATAGTCTCTGGGAGTATTATAAACGCTTCCACTGTTCATTTGAATGGCATTTGACACCTCATATAACGTTATATATCGAAACCTGTATTAGGCGGACACTCTGTATTAAGCGGACACTACAGCATTCCCCGAGGGTGTCCGCTTAATACAGGTTTCACTGTATTAGCTTTTAAATGCATGTCGGGACTAGCCCCTGGGTACCTTGGTGATCAATTAATTACACGTAGTACTGTAAGTAACCGGAAAACCAGAAATTCACCGATGCTAAATATCCCTTTATTTAGGCCTGCCACTGGGCTGAAAACTTTCCACTATAGGATAGTCAACATTTGGAATAATTTAGACAACAATATCACGTTAAGTTTTAGGAATAAGCTTGGAGGGACACTTTTAGACAAATTTAAGAGGGACAGTAATAAACATGCGACGGAATAATTACTAATAATAATTAATAATTTCAGAGTAACGGTTAAGGGGGTTGGGTTTAAGAGGGAGGATTGTTATATATGGGAGGGAATGATACTTTAAATAATTTGTAATTTAAGCGCTTTGGTCAATTAGTGGAGTTAGCGCTATATAAATTATGTTATTATTATTATTATTATTATTATTATTATTATTATTATTATTATTATTATTATTATTATTAATTTTTAAATAACATGTATTGTCAATCTTTTTACTTTATTATATGTTTGAATTCATTTTTGTAATTGACACTGAAAAGCCCCTAAGAGGAAGTGTTCAATAAATCATGTATGTATGTAATAATAGCTTTTTGTATGTTTACATTGAACTACTTCACAAAAATGTAACAGTAAGATAATTTCTGCTGTACCCTGCGAGCAGTGGTTTCTCCAGCGTCCGGCCTGGAGAAACCACTGCTCGCAGGGTATTTCTGCTGTGAACACTGTGATTGGAATAAGCAAATTTAAGGTCTCAATCCTGTACGGCATTGTAATAAAATTTTGTTTTTATAAAACGGCACAATGGCAAGGAAAAACCTGTTGTCTAGACATCGTGTCGCATCTAGCCTGAGTAACAGGCGCCGTTTTATAGGGCGAGGAAGAAATTTCGAGGACGCGCGGCCTTTAAAAATAACAACCGGCGCCTGATGTCAGGTCATCCTATTTTCTCCCGAAAAGGATACAAGTGGTCGCTTACTAGAGGTTGAAAACAATAGAAAATTCTAAACCTACCAGCCGAAAATAGGTCGCGGAGTTACATGAGTTGGTCAGTTTACGAGAGGTTCCAGTATAAGGCTTTGACTGACAACATTTTTGGTGTTTTTATTTGGAAAGGTGGTCGCTTACGGGAGCTAGAGGTGGTCGCCTACGGGATGTGGTCGCACGTGGAGGTTCGACTGTATCTTCAGAGTCCAGACCGCTTTTGGAAGAGCCCCCTGTGGTTCCATTGTAGTAAATAACCATCAGATCTTGGGGTTTTGGGAGGTCGCTTTATACGGAAAGGTCTTCGCACGATGTGAAGTGCAAAGGCTTCCAGCGAAATGTTTTAGCGATTAAGGGCCTTTTTCCGAGAGAAAATTGTATGTAGCTTTGGACAAAACAAATGATTTATTTTAAAGTATGCGGTAAGTTAACTCTTCGACTATCTTCCCGCACATTTCAAACTGTGGCATCACTGAGTGGACTAACACCGTGTACTTTGTGCCCTTAAGATACCAACGCATTCACCTAGGCTTGTTTGGAAGAATCATGAGTTCCCGACTTTGATTAAACCCATCTTTCTTCACTTTTGTAGGTCCACGAGTGGACCATCAAAAATTGCAAAGTCGACTGTAAAGTCGTCTTGCATCCGATAGGGAAGATTCATGGGGCCGAACTTCAAAGCGACGCACACAACAGATACCAGTTCCCGGCATTTCCTCGGTCAAAAAAGGTGTTTCTTTCACCACTTTGTAGATTAACGCCCGTAGTAAAATTAACTGAAATAAGCAAAATTGATTAAGATCTCCTTCATTTTTGTAGGGTCCACATGTGGACCATCAAAAATTGCGAAGCCGACTGTATTTCAAGTCGTCTTGCGGGGTATTGGGAAAAGTTTTCAATCAGCAATAACCGCGCCTCGGATAAACCTCACTGACTACGGTAATGCCACTGCGCAAAGCTAACTATAATACGTTTCAAAGGAACCATTTGTCGTTCCTGGGAACACATTCATTGTGGTATATGTTTTGCCGTAGTCTTTACGTGTTCCCTTGTTTTGCACCGCGCAACGGTTACTGCGCATAACATTACGACAACAAAGGTGCCGGCGATTTTCGCCGGTCCCTGACGAGAGGTTTAAAAGACCGCTTTTGTAGTCCAAAAGGATTTTTATTGAATAATTATGGTTGAGGTCACACAGTAGAGGCTCATCATGGCAAAAAAGGCCTTACTATGGTTACATCATTCGCAGGGTCGGGAATTTTGTAATAAATTTGTTCAAAGATTATAGCCCTGAGCTCCTACAGAAAGTCAGCTAAAATGCCGAGAAAAATATTGCTATAATGCATGCTTGGGACGCATGCGTATACTACCTTAAAGGTGCGACGACTCATAACAAAATGAATCAAACTAACTCGCCGTGCATTTTATAACTCGCGAATAAAAAGCTTTGGTCCTTAGGTTTCATCTTGCAATAATCTATAACAGTAATATGAATCAGAAACGACGGAATGACTCTAAACATAAACTACTAAACCAAAACCATTACATCATCTTTTTGCTGTTTTGAGTCAGCTTTTTCAAAAGTTTATTATCTACTTAATCATTCTTCCAGTTGAGTGGCACCTTCTAAGGTTTATTTATTTATGGCTAACTACACTTCAAAAGAAACACCTATAAACAATTAGTTAAACTATAACCGTCCCGTAAATTTTTTAATCATACATAAACAGTGAAAATAAGAGCAGGAAACTGGCCTCTTGAAACATCGCTTACAAAACTGCACGCTCGGCTGAAGGTAAAAGTGACCCCACAGCACTCAACGGTTGGTTTTCCTTCCAATCCATACCAAGAATCAGGGCCTCTGATATTTGATACTATCTCGTATGTTGTACCGCTTTCCAAGGCAACTGCTTTGTCAAACAAGACATCAAAGCCATGGAAAGTTTCGTTGTTTTCTTTAGATGACAAATATGACCCAGACTGCTCAGTAAGGTAAGACTGTGACAGGAAGGAATCATTTTTACGAAGATCTTTAATTTTGATGGACACTTCGTACTTGCCATCTTCACTTCCAAAGTGCTGAACTCCGTGTAAGATAACATCTTTGGTAACACTAAAACGAATTTCGTTGCTGGAGCCACGATAGTACCATCCTCGTCCTTCCTCCCCTGACACCAACCTACCAAATCTACAGCATCGCTTGAAAGGTCCTATCCTTGGAGCTTGTTCAAAGGATAAAGGCGAAATGGAGACGTCAGCGTAGTACTTTACCATTTCAGAAATCTCTTTCATTGTAAGAATGTTGCTGTCAATTACAGTTGAAGCAAATTCTTTCAAAGACATCAAGGGAAAACGAATCGCCTTTAGAATTGTCTCTCCAATTATTTCTCTCTTTTCCCCTCCATCTGGCGGTTTTTTACGTGCAATACGTTTAATTCGGCCCTGTCTTGCTGCCCATCGATCAACTGCTTTGAACAATTCCACTTCTCTCACATTTAGACCATCCATTTTCACAATCGACTCTAAGAGAGAACTGTCAAGTTTTTCTAAAGTGTATGACGACAGAGCTTCCTTCGTTTGAGCTTTCAACGCCTTCAAGCATATTTCTTCCACATCTTCATCACCAAACTTTTGAGCATCCTGCAAAATGTCCAGTACAGTATTAGCGTTCAATTCTTCTCGCAAATATGTGTTACACCTCTCCTCGAACGAAGGCACCATGTATTTCCTGGCCAAATACAAAACCCGCATCACATTCTCGCTTGACAATGATACTTCGTCGGAGTACATGTAGCGGAACAACTATGTTAAGCTGGCTCGGTCACAGTCTGGTAATTTAATCGAGTCTGTTTTCTCCGCCATTTTTCCATAGAACATTGCATAAAATACTGGGCTGCTAATTCCCAGCACAAACTTGTGAGCTGAAAGCTCAGTGGTGAACAAATTGCAATCTCGCCATCTCGGAACAATAAATTTCACGTCGCTTAGCAACTTATTGTCAAATACATACTCCATCCTTTCTCGTATGGCTGATCTTGTTGTCTGCCAGTCTTCATCAACAGAAACCACTTTTGCAATTCTCTTTTTCTGCTCTTCCATCAACACAGGACGTTGAGCCTTTTCTGCAAATCGGCACCGAAAAATGAAACTCCTAAAAGTGCGCATTCTTTTTCCGAGAAGAGTTTGATCTGCCTTGCGTAATAAGAACAATAGGAGCTCTTGGCTCTCTCCCGTGAATTGCGCATTGTACCCGCCTGAATGCCCCCAATAATACCTATTCTAAAGGACACAAGATGGATTACAAATAACGTATAGCAGTCAAAAACTATTTCATTCAAATTCAAATCAAGGTTCAAAATTGACCCGTGCACACGAATCTGGTAATTTTTAAACCGCATATTTGTTTACCCGCATTCGTGTGGAGCAGTTTCAAAAAGGTGCAGTTTCGGTAAGGACGGAAATAAAGCAGATTGGTGTAATGAGACATGCGTTTACATCAATACCTGGAGTCAAATATGAATTTACGGACGAGAAGTTTTTTGGATGGCAAATCGATTTACATCTGTTTTGAAATTCAAGTTTCGCGTAGCCTGCGAGCAAGCTCTCCTATTTGGGCGAGCGAAGTGAGCCGCGCGAAAACGCGCGAGCGAGCGGCGAAGCCGCCAGGGGCCGGCTCGCTCGCGCGCTCTCGCAAGGCTCGCTTCGCTTGCCCAAATAGGAGAGCTTGCTCGCAGACTAAATTTCGCGCTCTTGACAGCTTCTGCCATATTGGGAATGGTGAAATCTTTTGCGGGTTATTGTTTTTTTTTTTTGCGTACGTGTTTTTCTTTTTTGTCAGCTCATTAGCCGGACAGTTTTCGTCTTTTTTGATTTAGGTGGGGTCCACGTGTGGACCATCAAAAATTGCAAAGCCGACTGTATTTCAAGTCGTCTTGCGGGGTATTGGGAAAAGTTTTCAATCAGCAATAACCACGCCTCGGATGAACCTCACTGGCTACGGTAATGCCACTGCGCAAAGCTACTCGGTAAAATTTTACAATGAGCAATTTCAAGCCGAGTTAGTAACGCCATCCTTGTGGTACAAAGTCTTTTGTTCTTAATCCGATGAACGTTGTAGGTATAATGCACGATTTTGTAAATCACTGATTCAGTTTCAACAATTTGAGTTTTCAATCTTTAACTAGGCAACAATAACGCAGTAGATCTTTTGGGGGGTCTCTCGGAAAACATTACGCAATGCGGAAGGCTCGGTCTCCAGCCGTGGCCCTCTCGATGCGACTGTATGAGCCTACATGAAAGGAAACCTAAACCAGTCCTAAGTCGTATGCTGGTGAACTTGTAAGAGTTGTTTTTATGTGGGTTGTTTCCCCTGAACCTACAAGTTGCAGGGGCACCCAACGACAATTTTCGGAAAATATCTGTTCGGAAGACGATTTGAGATCTAGAATTTTCGGAACATTTGTTGTAAAATTTCTTGCTTGCCTGCCTCTCCTAGGATTTTCGAACATCTAAAAAATGGTATAATTGCCCATTTTTAACGGATTTTTTACACTTAAAAGGTCACCTAGAATTTTCGGGAGCCTTTTTCCTGGCTGAAATTTTCGAAACGGTAACCTTTGATCCCTATAATTTTCGGATCACTAGACTTTCAGCTAGGAAATCCGAACAGATGAAAAATTTTTAGGGGATAAAAATATGCCTATATCTACCGTTTAAATACTAAAATAATTTAACAATGCTATGTTTAAGTGGTTTTGAACTATATTCTCGTTGGGTGACCCTGAAGTTGTATGAAAATATAAAAGGCATAATGTCGGACGTTGTTTTAATTACACCGTACGCATAGGCTTGATTTCTTTGCCGGCGTTCGGTAAATGAGCCTACCCGAAAAGGGACCGGAGAAAGCGACGGAAAAAATAACCTAACTGTGCTAAAGGTGTTACTCCAATTCTTATAAGTCTGAGAAGGCTACAGTCAAATCTCTCGTAGTTTGCGGCTTGCGATCACATCTCGTTCACGCGATCACATTTCGTGAGCGTCAGTCAAAGCTCTGTACTTGGAACCCCTTGTAAACGGCCACCTCTCGTAACAACCGCAACCACCTTTTGAGCTCACAGTTTTATGACTTTCCATTGTTTTTAACCTTCGGTAAGCGACCGCTTGACGCTTGGCCTGAACTCCATACAGTCAACTTTCTCTCTAAGCCGGTACACTTTTGGGGACCGACACAAAGTGCCCATCAAAGAGTATTATTACACATTCAACTCACTATCTCTTTCCTGATTTGCCGAAAGCGTACAGTGAATTTTCGAAATCAGCGCCTGGGACTTCATCTAGCTGCAGATTATAAAATAATCATATCAAGGACACTCAAGGTCACGGGTAATCATGTCATGTATGACCGCATGTGCATGATTTCTAAGGGTAATCATGCGCGCTTTGTGTTGCTTGCCGATGATTTGTATATTTTTATTCGTTTAAAAATAAATTATCAGTTCCACTAACTGTCGTGACCATTTGTTTTGTTTCGTTCAATGCATAATAAAACAATTATTAGATTCTGTTTTAGTGATATCCAGAATAATCAAGGCCTCGGGAAGGGTTAACAGCATCAGCCTTCGGCTGATAACTCCTACCTCGACCTTGATTATTCTGGATATCACAAAAACCTCATCCATAAGTGATAAATATATGTCTTACAGAGAATCGAATAAAAGGAGTAAAGAAAAGCAGGGACCAACTCAAAGTGTTCATTTTACAGACGTGTCCGTTAAGAGAGAGTGGACTGTATACTGTTCATTGGGTCTCATACATGGAGTCCTAGCAAGTCACTTAACATGTCCGTACACCAATACAAAAAAACAGGACTCGTTTCAAGCTTTCGTTTGCTTAGTAGGTCTTTATTTTACGTCAGTAACTCGTAACAATAGTAATAGACCTTTTCCGCTTTCCCGTAAATAAAGGCACCAACTCGAGGCTGAGGTGGGCAAAATACAGTGATTTGTATGAAATTGTCCACCCGAGCCTCGTCCTCATTTCTTTATGTTTCCTCACTGGAGCGGAATGCGGGAAAGGTCTGTTAGACCGCAGAAAAGCTAAGGCCGACGGTGCACTCAATGTACTCCTCCCCCCTCCTTTCTATCATTGCTGCCGTACACTAACCAACTGTGCTAATCCTTGCTCCTTGAAATGAAGGAGCATGCATTAACCCTTTAAACCCTGGGATCAAAATTTGAATTCTCATTTGTTGCCCCTATTCATTTCCTACAGAAGTAGTGGGGAGAAGTTGATAAAATATCAAGCAAATTCTTCTCGTGTGAACATGTCCGTAATTCTCACGACCACTCTGTTTTACAAAGCATTGCTATTACAAAGAGAAATTTGATGCTGATCACTCTTAGGGCTTAAAAGGTTAAGTACACCTTTCAGACACTAAAAAAGGGCCAAGAACCATTGGAAGAGAAAAAATGCTGTTTTATTTAACTTTCAATGAATTGATTACATATCCCTTTTTTAACTTGACAGTGGATTTCATTATCCACGAAGCAAACCTTCCTTGTTACACTTTTTCGAAGGCCTGCTCAAGATCTTTCTTGAGGTCTTCAACATTCTCTAAACCGACACTACAGGGGAGAAAACAAAAGAATGACTAGTGAGGATTTCAGGCGGTAAGTCGAAGAGTTGATCATTGGCCGCTTCAAAATACCATTTCCCCTGCGGTCGTATTTATTGTTTCTATGTTCGATCAGATCTTTAATGCTGTTTGGCCCATGTAATATGTTCGTTGTTAATGACATTGAAAACAGTCCATACTATTTTAGCGAGGCGTTGATTCACAAGTGATGGTAAACCTGTTGTATTTCGTAGCTCAGAGTACGGCGTTTGTTTTTCATTAAAGACAAAACGAAGGGCACGCTCATTAACTTTCTCTAGCTTTGCGGTGGCACTTTTGTTACAGAAATGCCATATCTCTGGGCAGTAGTTGAAGTGAGGAACGATGAATGGTAAAAACACTTCGTATTTATCACTCACACTTGGTGCCCGAGTGCGATTTTTGCTTGGCACAACAGTTAAGCCTAATTCAACAGTAGCCGTTATACTAAGGGTTATAATCACACTTGTACCCAAGGGCGATTATTGCTGGACATTGCCAATGTGAACACATCCTTCCCCTGGAAATCGGGAGAGACGAGACCTTGTACTCGGGAACCGTCTCCAGTTCCTGTGCAAGGAAGCACTTCATCATCAGTACTTTGCTTGATTTGCATACCCCTAAAATCTCCCTCTTAGACTCTTGTTTTAAAATGGTATCTAGGGGCAGGCGCGAAATCGAGCAAGTGTGTACGTAATACAGTATCGGATACCAGTGTACGAACACAGCCCCAGGGATAAAGTCAAGGGTGTGTGAATCGACACAAAAAAAGAACATCATTTCTGTATGTCATTTCGATACACGGTCTTACCATAAAGTTACAAGAACAACAATCAAGGCGTACCTGAATCTTACAAGTGATTCTGACAGGCCTCCTTCCTTCCTTTCGGATGCTGATATGTACTTTTCGGGGTGAGTCATAGAGCCAGCTATCTCGATCAAACTTTGAACTCCACCTAAAGACACAGCGAGCTGGATCATTTTCAGATTCTGAAATAAAAACCAAAACTGTCAAAACATTTCTTCCTTTAAAAGTAATTTAAAATGGAAAAAAGTTTACAATAGTAAATGTTCTCAGGGAAAACAACAGGTAGGGAAGGGATGGGTTTTTTTTTACAACAGCTCTCTTTCCCTTCTCTCCCCACCCCTGCTTACCTAGAGTTCGCTCGCAGGCAACTATAACTATCTCATCGCCTGTCAACCACGGGACCATAACTCAAGAAGGCAACCATATTCAAACTGTCCTGGGATTGATAGAGCGATTTTCGTATGACCTTAAAAACTTGTTCGGTAAGTGTTCGTTTTATCAGCCAATGGATGAAAAGATCAAAACATGGACTCTTCGTTTTCCCGCCAAAGAAAACCCTAAAATGGAGAAGGCATTGTTCGATTAGCCAATCGTGTTGCAGTATGACGTCAGAGCGAAGTATCAATTAATTTCTAGAAAGTTCTCGGGCATGACGTTTTTTCACCTGAGCGTTTGCTTAACCAACCAAAAGAAGCGCGCGTTCGACAAACCAATCAAATCACTCCATTTCCGTTCGTTTGTTGTTTCCGTTTTCAAGGTCATACGAAAATCGCTCTAGTTAATCAAAATACAACTGGCTGCTGCAAACAATCGCCAAAATATCTTTTAATGTTGTAGCGTGATGATGCGTACCTCAACCAGTTGACAAGATGCCTGCTTTCCGCCTTTCACTTCAAACGACAACATTCCACTGTATCCCATCATCTGTTTTTTTGCAATGTGATGGTGAGGATGGGAAGGCAATCCAGGGTAGAAAACTTTTTCAACCTGAACAGGACCGAAAAGAAATCATGACAGAAAATAGAGAAAAAAGTAGGGTTACAGCGGCAGGATTATCTCAGTCGGTAAAGCGCTTGACTTCAGTGTGGGAGATTATATGGGATTTATTCCCGGGGTCGAACCAATACTCTACGAATGGCCAGACCTTCGCGTGGCTAGGATGATCAAGTAAAATTTCGGTCCCTTCTCTAACAGGAGACGTAAAAAATAGTGTCCCCAATTAGTAGTTTCGAGCTAAATAAATTGACTCTAAAGTTAAGTGTTTTGTTACATAGGCACGTTAGGGATTTAATTTTTTCATTCTTACAAACGATGCGAGCACGTTGTAATACATTGGAATGAACTTTATCTGTCAGTCTTTCATTTCTACCCTTACAACTTCAAGTAATAAAATTGTTACAAAACTTGCCCCAGGGATAGAGCAGATATATATCTGAGTTCAGGTTCTTTAAATATTCAGACACTGCACTGATGTCTGATCAGAAGAGTAGCTGGCAATGACATGAGCCAATCCGCCGTACGGAAAAAGATGGCGGCTGTACATTTTACCACAATTCCTTTCGAACCTAACACGGCCAATTACAAATAGAGTCATTTTTTTTTGGGGGGGGGGCGAAATTTGCCCCTGTATAATAGTAACATTGCCTATCCTAGGTTTGAAGTTTATAAAACTTTTCTGTGCGTTTTTATGAGCAATTTTATGGTTTTCATGCGCTAAGACTGTGGGTAAATGTACCAGTCGCCATCTTTTTAGGTACGGTGGATTAGAAGTGACAGAACAAACACTACTAATGTTAAGTATCGAAATCGACCAAGCATGAATGAGGTTCGAAAACGCATCACGATTGACAATGACGGTGCTGCTAATGGTCTCCACGGGCCCGTTTCTCGAAAGTCTCGATAACTTTTCGGGCCCGAAGGCAAATCTTTAAATCAAAACCTGTTGAATAGTAGCACAGTTCATAGGTCATAAACAGGTCAATTTTGCTTCGTTAATTAACCGCTGTAATTTCATTGTATCATTTTCAGAATTATTGAAACTTTGATCTTGAATGCAAACACTGCAAACACTAAACGGCTTTTCGGTTCCAAAAAGTTATCGGGACTTTCGAGAAACGGGTCCCAGCACAGCAAACCGACACCATGTCTTACAATTCCTTTTTAATATATGCCTAGTCTGGATTTCATGTAAATGACCTGCACTGGTAATCGTAATATGCATAGTGATAATCAACTAAACGACACTTAGAATACCTTTGGATGACCTTCCAAGAACTTGGCGATTTCCATGGCATTTTGATTATGTCTTTCCATACGAACATGAAGAGTTTTCAGCCCACGATGAAGAAGGAAAGCTTCGAATGGTGACTAAACAAAAGTAAAACATGTTAATTGGACACTTCAATGGTATTTTAGCGACAGTACATATGAAAAAAAGAAAACAAAACAAAGAACACGTTGTTAGGTTCAAGCTTTACGTCTTGTCCTTCTAAAAACGATTATATAACATTTCACCTTTATCAGTAAGAACACTCTCGACCTTAAATACCGTTAATATGCCATAGTTTTGGGTCTAGTCCACAATCATGGACGGAAGTTTTTGCAATTGCGTTACTATTTTACACATGTTGAACAAACAGTCGCGAGCAAATGAAAATACACATCCCTTACCACCTCCCTCCTCACCACAGAAAATGCTGCGCATGAGAGTTACTTAGGAGAGAGGGCATAGCAACACGTTTTCTTAAAAGGATAACGCAGCTTTTTACTAAACTGATGTATTACAACATTGACTCAAGGGCAATCTTTGCACTTTAGCTCGTCTTAAGTGCCAAATAGAGATTAAGAGTCGAGGGGAGTCAACACCGACACGAACATGTGAGAGATAAAACTGTACACCGGCATCGTATAAACGACTTATTAACGGAATCAAGCAAAACTTACTACGACAGAACGACTGGACAAGTGACAATTTAACCAACAATAAACGACTACTTAACTGTGACAATAGTCAGATCAAAACGCACCAATGACATTGCGAGTCTTCACAGCCAATAACATCACGGCACAACTGACATAACAGCGCGACGTAATTGACTGATCAGGTCAATAACCAGAGTTTAATACCATCAACTGACGTGATACAACTGAAGATGACTACCGCACAGGTTGTTGAAACGTCAGTCACAGGACTACGTTCACCAGGAAGATCATACTCAACTTTCTTATGATGTGAGTACCTATAGTTGCTACGCTTTTCCGTATAAACATAGCTGAGCTTTAATATTATTTTCTCAACGCATTTGTTTGCTGGCTATTTCAACAAATACTTGACAATCAAGCCAAACCTTAAGATTTCCAATACGAGTGCTCCACCAAAATACAGGATGCTTCGCTCATTCACTAAACAGCTAAACAGCCTTGAAATTGTTAGTACTACATGGCAGCTTAAAATATTCAAGAAGTAGATTGTGTGTTTACCATATATCCTCCAAGAAACTTGCGCAGCTCATAACATTCTTTATACAGCTCCTGTGATGACAATGTGAGAGACCCCGCTGTTATGTCACTATGTCCACCAAGATACTTCGTGCTGTACAAGAAGACAAACGATCAATACGTGCCTGGTCAGTTATTACGGAAAAACCTCAGCATTATATTCTTGGCCTGAGTAAACAGCGGACATTTCATGAAGCCACTACTGGTTTCCCCGCGAAATGACGTCTGAGGAACAGGCGCAGAATCTCAATACTGACGACGTGTGACTACCCAGATCTAAGATAGTGCTTCTGACTGGTTGACGCAAATTTTTCCCGCTGCACGACCGATCAGAGGCACTTCCCAGATCTGAGCAGTGCCACGTAGAACACGAAAAATCCCGACAAACCGAAAACGGTTGATCTCAATAGGACACGAGCATGGTGACCCTTGCCTCTATTGATTATGTGTGATTTTTTTTTCTCTTTCTTGAAGGGTGGGGAAAATTGCCTCCTGAAAGAAGATGCCATGGCAAGCAGAGGAGAAAAGAAAATAATTATTAATACAAAATTTTTCTTTTACATGTATTTAGTCTCGCAAGGAGAAACAAGTGTCCCAGCCCATTCACTATTAAAGTTCAAGAGAGAATGAGCCAAGAGAGTGAATCCCTGTGCCCCGTGACGCTTAATTGTAATCTATTTTAAGTTCGCGCGCATGCTACGAAGGTTATTTTTGACTGTTGTTTCCGTGACCACGCCGTCTAATTTCACGTGGACGTGACATGCTTCGCCGAAAAACATTTTCTCTTGTACATTTACCTCTTGTTTTCTAAGGTTATGCTTACTTCGTGTTTGCTGAGAATAATAGCAAACCAATATGGTATCTATTCTTCTAATATAAATTATAATATATTTTTAACGGTTGTGAACAACATATGATGTTTTTTTCAAAATTAACTCACCAGCTGTGAATAACAATATTGATTCCCTGTTGGATGGGCTTCTGGTTAAAAGAAGAAGCAAATGTGCTGTCGACCATGGTGATGGCACCATTTTCTTTGCCAAGCTTAGCAATCTCCTCAAGATCTACCAAGGTCATGGTTGGATTACAAGGTGTTTCACAAAAGATAACCTGACAAAATAATCCATAATATTCCTGCTAAGCCTAAATCCTTTTTTACCGGTAATTTCAGCTCCCGGGGGGTACTCCTTATGATAGTGTACACAAGGTAGCCTGTGTCATAGACGGAAGTTAAGTTCGGTTAGTAACGCCTGCGAAGCATCGCCAAGATCGTTGTTCTTGGCCGCTCACGGACTCAACGAATTACCGGAAGTGTGTTCGAATTTCCTTTAATTCTGATTGGCAAATCGACAATAGCATTTTTAAGAGGCCAATCATGGCGCCTACTCAAATCCCGGTACACATGTGAGGGCCCAGAACAAGGATTACGCCGCTGTTTTACAGATGGACTTAACCAGAGTTTAGTTTCGTCTGTGGCGCAGGCTAATATAAGGAGGCTCCGCCCGAAAGGGGTACCTTAGTCAGGTTTCTGGTGTTTGAAAGTGTAGGGATTTCACTAGTTGAAGTATATGAAAGGGTAGTAAAATATGTCATTGCAGTTTGTGACAGGACCAAAAGAGGTTAGCAGACACATTTTTTGGCTGGGAAAAGGCAAGAAAACTGCCTGGTTTAGGGATTTATTCGACACATTTGAACGACAGTGCATTTAGAGCAGTTAAAAGGGATGGAGGGTCCTAAACTAGTTATGTAAAAGGAGTACCATTTATCAAGGCAAACGAAAGGGGTACCTTTTCTATTAATTATAGTATATACTGAGGGGTTGGCCCTCATGGCGGACGCTTCCATATAAACCTTTGTTGATTACTCCCCCGGGTTCCAATTGCATCAAGTTGATGAGATCAAAGCAGGAATCACAAAAATCGCCATGAGTTTTAACACTGTCAGCAGCCTTTCTTTTTTCTCAGCACAAACTGACAAAAAGCGAGAGCAACGAAAACACGGTTTGAATAAGGATGAGTTAAACGTAAAAATAGAAATATCTTATATTCACATGATTTGTTTAGCAGAGGTCTGAACAGTAGTACCCCGCGAGCAGTGCGTGTTTCTCCAGGCCGGACGCTACGCCACGAAGCAGTAGTTTCTCTCCCTTTGTAACGTAGCGTCCGGCCACGGAACCACTGCTCGCAGAATAGGACAGTAGAGGAGACAGCGTGATTGGGATAATCATCATAACGTTACAGAAAAAAAAATTAGAGAATGAGCGACGGTCAGGAAAAATCGGCTCTAATGTTGATTTCGTCCGAAGAGTTGAAAAAGAGAGTATAAGGAACCTGATGTAAATTGTTCCCGCCAAAAGCCTTTCACTCTCAAGTAAATAAAAAATATCGCTTTTCGTGGTGGGAGTCTCAAAACTTCCTTATTTTTAACCCGAAATTTGCTAACATCTACTTAGTTTCCTCGCGTTCCCAAACAAAGCCCCACGAAAAAATATAGGCACTTTCCAACACGAAAACAACTTTTTAAAGACATTTACAGGCCAAAAGCGCGACTCGTTGAGCTGACATTCAAAAATGAAGAATAGGTTTTCAACAACAACTTTAACATGTTACTCAATTAAAACGGCAATATCTAACACTTGGTGAAACTCCAAATTTTCTTCTTCCTAGTTAAAACACTTATTTAGACATTCTCAGAAGCAGAGGGTGAGACACTCAGTCTGGCAAAAGCAAGGTCTTGACAGCATGTGCATACAGTATTTTTTAATTTGATGACACCAATCCATGAGACCACTTTGTGATTTGATTAATTTGGTAAGACTGCTGAATGTTGACGACTTAGTTAGAGATGGATATTGACGGGTGTTGATGCGGTCACCCATTTTATATTTTTCTAGTTTACTGAACATACCAAGAGCGACAATTTTCCAAACAAAGAAGCTGCCAGAAGCTTCTAACTTTCAATTTCTGACTGAATAAAGCATACTGTTTGTTTTGCTTTGCCGCATTGTGAGGAAAATCTAGAGTTTTGTTCCTGAAGTACTCCCTTGTCTAATCACACAGGAGGCTTAAATCAGTCAGCAGAGCACTCAAATCTGTAGAGCAAGAGTTTGAGGGTTTGATCCCCGGGGCCATAGGAAATATCAGTCATATCAGATACATCAAATTTATCATAATATAACTGAGAAATGAAGGTGCTGCCCTTGTCCTGCAAAAAAAAGAATGTTCTCAAGAAGCACTTTGTTTATAAATACAAAGACACTTTAAAAATCTTGAGGGTACTTTTTTTAAAGAAACTTGAAAATCAGAACATGAGATACCTTAGTTGTGAAGTAGTGGGAATTCTCCATAAAGCGCAGCAGATTGCTGTATCTCTGTATGCTTGAAAGATATCTGAATCTCCATCATGGTCTTTCAAGTTCAGCGATCAAACAGCTGAAGATCTCTTGGAAAACTGCACTAGGTGAACAGTCATCACAAAGGCCAGGGTTTGAATCCCGGTCAAGTCTGGAATTTTTTCAGTTTTCTTTTTCAGCTGCTTAGGATGTTAATATAGCTGCAAGTCACACATCCATATTGATCTGTTTCAAGCATAGTTCATGATTTATTTCACATTACATTCACAGACAATAAGCAGGCAGAGTCTGCATCAACATCAGTTCAGAGCATTAGTTCAATGGGTTTCTTCTTTGATCATCCCCCAAAATTAAACACAGATCTAGAAAAGCTAGACCCACCCACATGTTGACTATCTGTCAGTCAACACGTTGACTGACACTCGGCCAATTAAAGCCGATGGTAAAATCGACCAATAATTGGCCAATATATCAATGAAGAATTAGTTGATATGTCAGCTAACATTTCGACCAAGTATCAGCTGATAGTGCCGATCACTATTTCAGCATAAGGATGCCTTACGTACACAAGAGTTCAAGATCCCTGAATATTAGAATGGCAACTGAAAAAAAAATCCCATTGTTTTGGCCTGGAGCTTACAATGCCTGTTACAATTTTTACGGTGATGATGATGATGATAATGATCAATCAGTATGTTTCCATGGTAGCAGTACAACCTCAGTCAGTAGAGCATGAACTGAGAAGCAGAAGGTGCAGATTTAATCATCATGGTATCTGATATAAAGCAGAGATCGTCTAAAAGCTAAGAGCGTGCTTTGCTTGATCTCCTGCCTTGTGATAATGTAATAGGTTATGAGTATGAATGAATTTATGGTAAATAAAGGCCTTTCTTCTTCTTCTAATGGTCAGACCCATACTAAGGGCCTTAAATATAAACTGTGGTATACAATAACTGCCCCTAAAAAGCAAATAGTTAGACCTTGGTGTGACTGAATCAAATGACCACCCATTCTAAGACAGTTCTGTCTCCACCAGGAGCCAATAATATAAAAACAGGACACATGTAGTTCATATCCTAAATTTGTTGTTTTGTTTTTGAAAGTAACTTTAACACTTTTTTGTTGTGTTTTTACTGTCTGTCCAGAGAGTAGATGTAATTAATGAGGCGATGAATAATTATTAATTTTATTCTTAAGACAAACCTTAGTGTTGGGTTTGACAGCATCCCGATAAGAAGAAGGATCTGAGCCATCAACACTGGTAAATTCCACTCCAAATCGCAACAGAAAGGTTTTCACTACATATAGTGTACCACTGTAAACCACTTTTGGAATCACCTAGGAAATTAAAGGAGAAAATATCAATACGTTGTCAATGGGAATTGTTCACTGCTTTCCACCCACACACCACACTCCTTTTTTCACCCTTCCAGCTCTTAAGACAGGTCTTATCTGAGGACAACAGACTACAGGTTGCAATTCAAACAAAACCTTTTTGGAAGAGTTTTTGCAAAGTACGTTATATTTAATTTCACAGGATTTTACAAAAAGAGGTTTAAATAAATAGATATATATATTTTTTAATTTTCCCTTTATAAGACCCCTGACTTCAATGCTTCTGGAATTGGGAGGAGGCTTAGTGGACATGCCTTCTGATTGAGTGTCCAAAGAGCTTGAGGGGGGGGGGGGGAAAAAAAAGTCCGGGGGACTTTCAAATAAAAAAAGAAAGAGGGTCATTTTCCCTTTTGGGGGTTAAATTTTGCCATTTGATCACATGTAGGATTTTAAAATATTAAATCGCCACCCACCTTGAAGTTCCTTTAAAATTATTTTTGATTTATATTATATAAATTATAAAAAATATTAATAATAAATATTTTTTATTTTTTTTTTGTTCTCTCAATTGTCAGCCCGGCGTGTGTTGTGTTGGGGGGGGGGGGGTGGGGGTGTGGGGGGTGGGGGTTGGGGGGGGGGGGGGGGGGGGGGGGGGGGGGGGGGGGGGGGACAAAAAAGTCCAGGGGACTTTCCAATAAAAATAGCAAGAGTGTCATTTTGCCTTTTAGGGGTTAAAATTTGCCATTTGATACCATGTAGGATTTTAAAATCTTAAATGGCCACCACCATTGAAGTTACTTTGAAACCTTAAATTTAGATTATTGAGCTGAAAATGTGAAAATGTCCAAAATTGATAGTGCCATTTTGGAATCAGTACCCCTTAGAAGATAACAGTGAATTGCACCACACCCACTCTCCAGGACTCCCCCACTCACAGCCAGAGCATCTCAGAGAGCTTGTTGGCAGGCTAGTCGAAAAGACCTGTCATGATGATAAAATTTGTCTCAGATTCTCGTTAGGATAGAGCGATTTTCATATGACCTTGAAATGAAAACGCCCGAACAAAACAGAAGCAAAAAACTAACAGAAATAGAGTGATTTGATTGGTTTTTCTAACGGATACAAATGCGTGTGGCTTTTGGTTCGTTAAGCAAACACTCTGGTGAAAAATCTTCATGCCCAAGAACTTTCTAGAAATCAATTGATACTTCACTTTGGTGTCATACTGCAACATGATTGGCCAATCGAACAATGCCTTCTCGATATTAGGGTTTTCTTTAGCGGGAAAACAAAGAGTCCATGTTTGATCTTTTCATCCATTGGCTGATAAAACAAATACTTCACCATTTTTCAAGGTCATCAGGCCTCAAAGTTTCAATTTCAGTTTGGGAGCACTTGGGCTACCAGATGTAAATTTTTAGGTGCACTGCCGAAATTTTAGGCGCACAGCTGAAAATTTTAGGAGCACAGCTTATAATGTTGGGAGCATCTATTTCAAAAGAAAAAGTAAAAAGCTTAACAGTGCCTCGTTTATTTGTCATCTTCAGTTTGTTACTTTTACTTCAGTCCTGTGATTGATAAAACACAGCCAATTTGATTTCTCTTTTTGACAGTACGGTTGTGACTAAAGAAAACTTACACTTGTAAAACAATTCAAAACTGACAACAATGAGTGTGTCGAACGAGAATGAAAATTAATCTTTAATGAATTTGTTAAATTCGTAATGACTTACATGTAACTGGAATACGACTTAAAAAACTTTCTTACCTGGAAAAAAAGACTCTTAATCCGTACTGTTTTTGTTTTGATGGACGTTAAAACTGAACATTCGACATGATCGTCCATAAGCGCAAAAAGCACGTGTTTCGTTCATAGCATATATTTGCCTGTGTCAGCGATGTTTATTACAAAACAGAAGAGTCTGGGATGGAGTAAAACATCGAAACGGAAAAGATTATTCCAGTTTGTAGAATCCATTGGGAGAAAAGACCAATTAAACATACACCGTCTTTCTAGTTCGAGTTCGTAAGTATAGTCGGAAGCAAGTCAGTCGCACCGTGCTTTGGGTTTTACAGCGCACAGGTGCAATTACACATGAATTTTTAGGCGCACAACCAAAAATCCAGTCGCATATGCGACCAGTTAGTCCTAACTTTGAGCCCTGGTCATACAAAAATCGCTCTATAAGGGTGTATATTCTTACCACATGATCCCCACTCTTCAACATCGCCATAAATGCTGTTGAAACTGCAGCCATGCCTGATGAAAACAGCAATGTTCCATATCCCCCTTCTAAATTATTGAGTGTTTGACTTGCAGCATCAGTTGTGGGGTTATTCCAACGAGAATACAGCCACCCATCACTCTGAATAAAACAAATTATTCAAGGGTACCATGATTTTAAATTATCTGTTTGCATTATTTAACTGGTGTGCCTGTAAACTAGCTGTTGTAGTTCAACTAAGTGCTCTTTTACTATCGTGCGGTTTTCACTTGACTGTCGAATTGGGATTGGTTTTGGTTTTGGTTTTGGTTTTACTACGTCCTTTGGTTGGCTAGTGTATTTACTTTGGTTTTGGTTTTACGACAGTCAAGTGAAAACCGCTCTAAACAAAGCATTTACCGTTTACTACCATAACGACCTTACTCACACTAGTCCACTCATTTTTGGGTCAAGTTTTTTTTCACCTTACCATCCCCACCCCAACCCCATATGAACACGTGTCACAGTTGCACCTCCAGCCGAAAAAGGAAGCCAAAAGCAACCGGAACTCCGCAATAATGTCAACAAAATGATTTTTTTTTCGCGTAGAACGAATGAACCATGGTTTCACTCACCTTGCCCGTAGACAGCTCCTCCCCACGAGCTACAGTTGGAAGCTTGAAAGTGGAAGAAGAGTAGATCGGCACATTGATAGGACGAGCTTCTTCCATTGGAGTCCACTCGCTTGCAACAGCTAATGACTCGAAACTATTTAAAAAGGAATCTCTTGCCGCCATGTTACGTTGTCCCTGTAAAGATTGTCAATTAATTTCTACTTTAAATTAATCTGATTGAATTAAATAAATATCTCTAACTAGTCAAATCGAATCATCATATCAACAAGTCCACACTCAGCGCACCATTTGGTCAGTGGTTAATTTTGTTCCGGAAATCACTCTGTGTATTTTTGCAGAAGAGTTACCTCGCCTCCCCCACCCCCGCATCCGTTTAAAAAACCGGTTTCTTTTGTGTTTTTTTTTCACAAATTACAGATTCCCCACCCCCGTGTGGACCTTTGACGACAAACCGGCTTTACCGAGGGTAGGGAACGTTAGTCTGTGTCATCATGCGTTATTACGGGAGTAGAGCTTTTATACCGCAGCTGTACAATCTGTCCCCACGGACTGAGTATTGACTATTGAACCGAAACATTTAGCGCACAATATAATTTAAATAATGATAGAATTTCGTTTATGCTTGAAGTGCACTGTTACAAGCAGCGTTTATAATCCCTTAAATAAAATCAAAAACAGCCTTAATTTGTCTTAGAGAACTCAAAGCAAACAAAATCTATTTATATTGCTCTTTTACTTTCGCACTCTAAATCTCAAATCCAGAAAACCGAATACTTCCATAACAACCATATGAAGGTTTTTACTTAATAATCTTCACCCCGGGTCTTCAACAAACCTCTTGACATTAAAATCAAAACCACTTACGATTTAAAACAAAAAAACAGCAACTAAAAAGTCATTCGTTTCGGCCCAACAGAGATATCTGAGCCGCATCTTATGAATAATCCAAATTTTTACATATGATCCTTTGTTTTAGGCTTCATTTTTGAGACATTCATGTGTTCAAATTCCTCTGATATTTTTTAGGTATTAAAGAGTGTTGGTTCCGTATACAGCTTTAAGAAAGAATAGAAAAGCGACGAGAAAACAGGGAAAATAAAATATTGATGTGAAATCTCAATTTCTTTTAGTATGACATGTGTAAAATTTGCATACTCACCAGACGAGGTTTCTCTTCTTTTTCACAGTTTAAACTCAGTCAGGCTAAGATATTTAAGAAATCAAAACAACAAATCCCTCTCCTCAAGGATCTGACATCAACAGACTACACAAGCGCAAGTTCAAGAGCTAAAATCTGAAGTGCGGAACTGAAATCAGTGTGACAATGTGAACCAGTGGTCAACCAATCACGCGAGTGGCGAAGGTTAAATATCATGCGCGCATTTATCGACTCACAAATAGCGAACGAGCTTATCACGAGTGTAATTGCAAACAGAAAGCTTACGCAACGATTAAAGGTGCATTCAAGTTCTTTCAAATTTCATCGCTATAATTCCATTTCGTTCAGTATCCCAAATTTTCCTGGAGCTAAATTGTGCCGTTTTCAAGTTCAGGAAAAATAAAAAGAGAAGTTTATAACGTCCTCCATAGAAATGTACCAAAAAGTATGATGCAAGAACAGAGTTGTTGTTTTTCTTGTCAATGTTTTTGTAATTGTTGCCGTCGCAGTTCTGGTTGCCTTAGATCCCTATTGTTGTGTGTCCACGTGTAAAACAGTTCACTCAATCAATACCCGTGACTCTATAGAAGACAAACAGGACAGTGACAATAGGTCCAATGAGCACGTCTATATCAGATAACTTATCCTGTCGACATGAAAAATATTCGGCATTTTAGTTACAAATTGACAGAAGTTAAAAATAAATAGCGCAATCGACTGAGTAGAATGCTGAATTTCATTAAAGACGTTTTCGTCTTGGTCAGGCTCAAGCTCCCTTGCCAATTCGAAACGAGAGCGGGAAAATGACCGTAAAAAGGAAAAACAAAACAGTGCCGGATCCAGACCTTGAGATAAGGGGTGGGAGGCAGTCATCCAGACCCTTAGGTAAGGGGGGGGGGGGGGGGGGGGGATCCCAAGAAAACATTTTTTTGGCCCTTCGGGCCTCAGTTTGGTCTAAAACTAAGGGGGGGGGGGGGCGGGCCCCCTGGGCCCCTTCCCTGGATCCGCCACGGAAAAAATGTTTAAAAATTCAGTTGTAATAGCACAGCTAGAATAAAAACGTTACAGCAAAGCCGAAGAACAAAATCGGAACAAAAAATGGCAGCACCCGAAAAATTAATATAACGATAAAAATACAATACGATGATACACTCTTTTTTGTATATAATAATGTTGTTTTTTCGGCCCAGGCTGAATGCTCTTAATTTTTTGCCGATTTTGGCCTAAAAAAATATTCTCGTATTATTCTTTAAAAAATTATAATTGAAAAAGAAAGAATTTATCATATACTTTTTGCTGACTCATTATTTTGTGCGGTATACTACAGATATGTACTTCTTTCATCGAACTGTCATTAGCAATGAACATTTGCAGTGGCTATAGCTAGTGCAGGTTTCTTCGTTTTGTTGGGTAGTTTTGCCGATGAGAGAAAGAAATAATTGGAATAATAATTCAGGGGTATAACGTCAAGTTGGGTTTCCATACCAGCTCAATTTATTATCCTTTTCGAAATCTCAGCCTGGAATTTATTCTTAAAATGTTGCAAATTTCAGCCTCGATATTCTTATAAAACATATTCTTAAAAAATGGGTGAATACTGACAGGAGTATCTTTGTAATCACAATTGATTATTTACTGTTTGCTATTTGAAACAGATTAATCATGTCTCACACATTGTTTTAGGTCGCAATTAGCCTCTTGGTCGGAAAAAGTAGTTCTTGCGACTTTATGTCTGATTTAGTCTTGACTTTTTGTTTTGTCCTTACTTCTTTTAGTTGCCGAAATGAAATTTACCCAAAAATATATTTCGGTAAAATCCTAAGATATGAAAAGCATCATACAAAAGTTCTGCTTAAATGGTAACTGGGGATTTTGTCTACATCCTAACTGAAAAAGCAGAAGGTCAAACCAGCTGACTTATGAGAGAACGGGCTACAAGTCATGGGTGTGGAATTTTTTTTATATCAATTGCTTTTTTGATCAATAAAAAACTGAAATTAGGGTTTTGAGGTGATTTATCACGGTTGTTTTTCACCAATCCAGTCAATCCAGAGTGCTACGCTACAAGAATGATACATAAATTCATACTACAGAATTTTTTCTGTGGTAAATCTTTCTTTACGCGTTTATATTTTGGCTGTTTCATAGAGGATGATTGAGCTCAAAATTAACGGCTACGAAACTATGGACGAACGTGTACATTTCGCCTAGTGCGCCCACCAGATTTGGCCATCTGATTTTTACATAGTTTTAGAAAATTGTACGCTTTTAAATGACAACTTCAAAGAAATCAACAAACTTCATTGGAAAATCAGGATAAACCTGCAGGCTTTAAACAATTAAGAGAGAAAAAACGTGCCACTGATAGAAAAGTATAATTCACTCGTCGAGCAAAAAAGTGCAACCGACCGGACAGGACCAGCCATGGAACCTTGTTCTAAGAGGGCCTTGTTACGTAACAAGATAGAACGCTATATCCTTCAATGTCATTCAAGTGTTTTGTTCCCAATCACCCTCTCTTTCGTAAAAAGCCGGGTCAGTTTGTTAGTCAGGCACAAATGGAGAGCAAATGTCAAAACTAGGACGCGGTACGAAGTGCAAGAGATGTTTAACACTTTAAACACTAAGAGCGATCAGCATCAAATTTCTCCTTGTAATAGCAATGCTTTGTAAAACAGAGCGGTCATGAGAATTACGGACATGATCACAAAAGATGTATTTGCTTGATATTTTATCAGCTTCTCCCTACTACTTCTATAGTTAATGAATAGGGGCGACAAATGAGAATTTTAATTTTGATTTGCGGGTTTTAAGGTTTAAGAAAAATTGCTATGTAAGTAGCTTTTTCTCTAAATATGACGTTGGATGTGTTGTTCACTTTTCCTACGTGACTCAAACTCGTAATGAAAAAAACCAAGCTACACGTTTGTTTTCACAAAGGAAGTTGTGCCGTTGAGGAATTGAACGAATTCTCATTTTTGTTATTCAGTTCCAATACTGGTCGACCTGGCGTTTAGAAACGAACAATAAAGTGGAACCCAAATTTAAGAAATGTTCGAGCTTCACGTCAAAAAAAATACTAATAAAATAAGCCTTCGTTCCAAAAGCCATCGTTCACGGAGGAAAGATGTCGCTTCTCCCATCCCCGTCATCGACCGATTTTTAACTGGAATACTTTTTTGCATACCTTCCTGCGTCTATCATCGCAACTCATTCATTGTCATTAAGTATCATGCCCGAAAAACAGGCAACTCAGCTTCAACCTTTGAAAGGCGTTACAACTGATAACGATGGTTTCGAATTCTTGCTGATGCTCACCTACAGCTTCGCTCTATAAGTAACCGAGGCAAGGCCAAGCGAAATATTGCTTTCATCAGCTTGTAACCCAGGCAATACCCTGGTTGCCAAAGACTTTTCTTGCGCGTGACTTCGACCTATGGCCGAAGATCTGTCTTGCGGCCGACACCGAGCCAGGCAGCCGCTAGTCTCTCTCGCAGCCGTTTTTTGGATGTCACGCAACGCTCAAACCTCTAGTACCCAGGGTACCCAGGCAAAGGGTCATCAGTTAAAGTAGATATCTTTACCCTGCACGGGGGGCAGGCGCTAAAAGGGTTCGTACTTGCGAGACGGAGAAGGTGGAAAATCTCTATTTACCCCCTCCTAGCTCGACCTCGCTGCGTTCTCGCGCGTCCGAATAGTCCAGTTTCAAATTAAACATTACCGCTGAATACAAAAATTAACGACACATTCATACAGGGTTAACCTCCACATAAAGTAAAATATTCAGAAATTCCGGCAAGAAAGTGTTTGAAAGTTGAATATAAACAATAGACAGAGTAATAAACAGGTCTTTTCCTCACTGGAATTTGTGAACATGTTACTTCAGGTGGAAGCTAAGCCTGTAAAAAATGCGTCTTCACTTCTTTAATTCCGGTCATAGGAAACTCGAAACTGGATTATTGCCCTGTCCCCTTTTAACGCCGCCTACACAGGCTGAGGGCAGCCTGGTGGTGAAATGCAAAATCCCAGCTCCACCACTAAAAAGAAAATCAACCAAACAGCCGGACAGGGAATACGGGCAAAAAGTCCTTATGGGTGATATTTTGAGTGATCCAGAGTTTACAGTAAGGTTTTCAGTAGGTGGCAAAAGCTTTTGAGTAGGTGGAGAAGGAATAAACTTGTGCCGAAGGCGCAACTTGCAAGCGCCAAGGGGGCGAAGTTTCTAGAGGAGTACGGAGGCTATCCCCCTAAGGAAAATTTTGAAATGTGGGCCTCTTAGAATGCATCTCAAGCATTCTGGAGAAAAACTTAGAGTGTTTAAACAGAACACAGAGGTCATTAAAGGGGCTGTGTCACGGCAGTCCAGTTCATTTTGTTTAATTTTGCCAATTTCTCACCCTCAATAGCTATGAAACTTAAAGTAAGCAAAGATCTTACATGAAAATGACAAAATCAAAGATTGGAAACAAACAAATATGTCTCCTGAGAATTATTTTTGAAGTTGCAAGCAGCAGGGATCAACTTTGAAAAACTGCTAGGCTGAACAGTTTTCAATTTCAATCCATTTCAATCTTCAGTTTTGTTCATTCGTGGCATCTGTTGCTTCTGTTATGTTATTTTAACCGTCCTTTAAAGTTTTAAGCGGTTATTTTTATGTTTCTCTTAATTTAACGGGCATTTTGTAATTTCCTAATTTGGCTGAATTTCGTGAGACAGCTCCTTTAAATCTTTTTGGCTTTTTTATTCAGTGACAGCACATGAATACTGCATATTTTTTGTTATTTTCGTCTTGCCAATACCTATGAACCATTGGTTATTTCAGTATCAATTTTAAAAATTGAAAAATTAAGAGTACCAGTTACATCCGTTTATACTGACCATTTTTACAGCTAGTAGACTTTATAATTCAAGAAAGTTTTATAAAAATTTCTCCACACTAATACACTGCTACATATTGGTATTGGTGATAGGAACCCTCGACTCCTTCATAGCACGGTTGGGCTGCCTGTGGGAAAATCAACTCGCGTCAAGCATCTTTTGCCAAGCCTGCGAAAGCAGACGTCTTTCGAGTCCTCGCTTCGGAATAAGCTTAGTCTGCGTTCGCAGGCTACCTACACTGTATAGCCGTCCCTTAGAAGAACTCCGGTTAAAGATATATTAATGCATGTGACGTTCTTCTCGAAATCAAGAGTCTTTGCGTTCCTTGTGGGCTGTAGTATCTTTGGAAAGTGTTAAAAGATATCCAGTCACTACCTCTTGCCATAAACTTGCCGCGTACCAGGCTGGAAAATATTGCAAAGTTATCAAACCAGACAAGTTCCATTGTCGACTACTATAATCCCACGGACAGGCCTTAAAATATCTAAGAAGCATACCACAGCTGAATTCCCATATATACACCCATATAACGTAGAGGAATCCTCGTACAGGCATAGGCAAAAATGGCTTGTCCTTCCAAAGCAAATAGAGCTGTTCAATGATAAAGCTGCCGAAACCATACATAAAAAATGACCACAGCGATGAGTGACCTCGAAAACTCCAGTCTATGAAGTTAGATTCAGCGAAGTTCAACATTGAAGTAAAAAGTATTTCGTCAAAAAACCCATGAAGGCCGTAAAAGAACATTCGCAACCAGACATTCACTGTCATCGATCATCTTGAGCAGAAAACAGATCAAAAGCTGCAGGCGCGGGTCTCCTTTGGAGTCCTGGGGTGAGTTATGATTCTGAAAACAAAGATGGCGACGGTGCGTTGTTTCTTCCTTTTTAGTCGCATAAAAACGTTTTGTTCGTAGCAGTTGAGGTCATTTACTATGGCAACTTGGCCTGAAGCAAATCAGAAGCGTCCACACGTGCGGTAAGAGGAGCTCGAGGATAAAAAGATGTTGTGTTTTGCGCTAAGCCGATGCCAACCTTCAGATAACGAAAGTTTAATTTAAGCTCAGTTAAGCTAAACAGAAAAGGAGAAGGTGTCCTCAAAATTGCCAGGGGCCGTTTCGAGGATCTGGTGTAGCGATCCTGCTTATAAACGTGCAACAGACGAAGTATTCAAGCGTCTTCAGCGGCGAAGACCATTCCCCACACTGGCAGACACCATCCCTGCCCCCTACCCTCCCCCCCTTCACTTATGTGGGGTCTGTCTTCACAAGTCCAAGCACCCTCTAGGCTCTTTGTTCAATCTTGATCCTTTATTAAAATAATGGTGTCAAAAATTAATTTTTTGAAATGAACTGCGGGGCTTTTTTATTTTGTCTGTAGAAATGCAACATTGGAGTTAACAGTAGACAACAGAATCAGGAGTTCCAAAAGTAAACACTCAAATGTCAGACACACAGCATTCAACAATTTAGCTCTTTCTGTGGAACAAGATGGGCAAGCACTTAGTGAAGTATCGTCATTCGCAGAATCATTACGTAGCCAGCCTGGTGAACTACAGGTGTCTGTGGCTTCTCATACCTCTGCAGCAGGGGTAGGTTTTATTAAATAGTATGATTCTGTATGGGATTGTCATGTTAAACACAAAACAAATATTCACTTTAACTATGCACTTCTAATAACTTAGTGCAAAATTCAAAATATACTGCAGGGGCACCTAATGACGGTTTTCTGTAAAAATTAATATCTGTTCGGAGAAGCAAATATTGTCTAGAGGCTTCTATAGCTTTAGGATGGCTAAAAATTTCTAATTGATCGTTCCATTCATGTACAATTTTCGACACGTACCTATTTTTTCCTACGATTTTCTGAAGTTTAATTTGGCTACGCATAAAGAATTAAGAGAATTAAGGCTTATTTGCTTGCATGCAACAACAACAACAGCAACAACAACAACTTTATTTCAGTATTCCCACGTTAGTCCGTGGTATTACCTTCTATTCTAAACAATTTTCAATACATACGTTTCATTTATACGATACTCTAACAAAAAAAGTGTGCTAAAAACGCACAATTAAAATATCAGAGTTCATACTTTTTGTCTAGACACTTTCATTTGGCTCGTGGAACAATTTTGTCCATGTAAAGCTCACTTACGGTTTGCTGTTTGCCATATTGGATCAGATTGGATCTTGACACTGTGGCATGAAACATAGAAACATTATAAAGATGTAAGTTTAGATAACAGAGCTTGGAGATCAAGCTTGAAATGTGACACAAAGAAAACAAGGACCATTTAAGAACGATAATCTGCAAAATTCTGGTTGCTAAACGCAACAAACCTGATTGAAATGAAAGTTAAATACTCACGTTCTCACCACAACGCCAAACAGACCAGTTTCACGTCGCCGACGGGAGCACCACGGCAATGTGGTGAGCAAGAGCATGCGCAATATTGCACAAATCATAACATCTCTTCGGTTTGAAGTTGCCGTTGCCCCGAAAACGTCTCCATCTTAAGTTCCATAATATCTCTTTTGACGGTTTTCTTGTACTTGTTTATGAAACACTGAACAATGATAGTACTACTTACAGTAGTAGTATTATAATAGTACTATACTATCTTCTTTGATATGGGTTTGGGACACGTCTGTATTTTTTGTTGTTGTTGTTACTCTATCCAGGAGCCCATAACTCAGAGCGAGCAACTTCCTTGTGCCCATGCAATGGCATTTCAAGAGGTCAATATATTTTTAGATCTAGTTTCCTGCAAATTTTGACAATAAGTCAGCATAAACCAGAGACATGAAAATAGTAATTCTTATGATTTGCAAGCATTTACTTTTTTTGTCATTATTGCGCTATGGATGCATACACATACAGAATATTGATGATTCCATTTTTGCAGTAAAAATACTCCAAAATGATGCTTCATGTGAAGATAACTTGATCTGTGAAAACACTGCACAGGTTAATATTTGGAGTTGCATGTTGCGATTTATGGGCTCCTGGTCTATTATTATTATTGATAAATATTTATTAATTTATTTATATACTTTTTTTTCTTTTTTATGGGGTAAGTGCACCTCATAGATAATGTCAAGGTAACCTTTGAGAATCGCTATATAAACATTCTTGTCTCAGTGAGGTGGCTTGTAGAATGTCTCTCTGTTTCTCCAGGAAAATTCCTTTTAGGAGGGGAATGCAAAAGTTTTTCTTTACCATTTCTGTATAACAAACATTCACAAATGGAGAACATTTTTTTTTCTTTGAACATGTCACTGGATATATTTCTTTCATGGAATATTTCTTAAGAAACCCTGTTTAATACCCTATAAAGCTCAAGATTGAGGGTTGTTGTGTAACAGAAATTCCATAAGGGTTCATATGGGGAATTATTTGGCAATCATTCTTTAGGGTACAAAAGTAACAAAATGAAAATACATCAGAACACCTTACCTTGTCTCCTTGTTTTATTGTATTTGTTTTTTTCAGCACAATTCCAGAAAGTTTCAGTTCTGTCAGTATTCTCACTAAAATCCCTGTACAAACTGTTATAATATTTCTGTCATGCAACAATGATCTCTAGGTTGGGGTGCCTGTGGTGTAAAAGTCAGGGTTGTCAGAAAGTTTTGAAGTAGATGGCTGAGTTGTGAAAGTAAGCGGCCAGTCTAGGGATATTTTACTTAAAAAACGCCATCCGTAAAGAAATGTCAAGCAGAGGAGCTGGCCAATATTAACCAAGTAGGCGGCGATTTTCGCTGGCAGCCGGCTACTTTTGACAACCCTGAGAGTATTGATGTTGCTTATTTTCTCGGCAGTCTTATTCCATTCTCAGAAGAAGCAGTTATGTGTCCATTGGCTGCATCAGCCTGTTGGTTACATTTCTTCTCCTTGTCAGTGGAGGAATCTTGGTGGCCATCTATAAAAAGAAAAATTACCATAGAAGTATGTACATCTTTAAGTCTGTATGATTATAAACAACTTTTTCTGTGCATGTGTGTTGATGATGATAAATATCTGTATAGTGAAAGCTCCTATCTCCATTCATGAGCCTCTCTTTGGATATCTGCAGACATTGCTCTCATTGCCTCATTTTCCATCAAATAAATATTTGTTGATTTTTCAACAAAGTCAAAAATATTATTGTTTAGCACGATAAAGCCACTAGTGAGCTTGAGCAACCGCCATGGTAGTGATGGAAACAGGAAAATAAAAAAGCAATAGGTTAATTAGCAAAACAAAGAAATGTGAATGTGCCTCACACCTTTTCGTAGATCAGTGTGTCATTACACAACTAAATTTGTTAACCTTGATCAGAATCCTGAATGGCAATGCAGTCTACACTTTAATCTATAAGATTATCATTTCATGAATAGCAATTGTTGCAACTTTGGTGTCATCAAAAATAACATTCAGAGTCTTACTCGTCCCTTTCAAGTGATCTCTTTTATGGTCTAGATGAACTTATGCTATCATTTGGTAATAAACCTGTAGCAGCAGCAGAACACTTATGAACTGTGTCCTTTTCCACATTCGATTTATAAACAATATTGATGTTCCTGTTAGGTACATAAAATTGGCAACTTTAGTGTACACATGTTTACTGGGTTCCCGACAAAGTAAAATGTTTCTTCCCAACATTAATTTTGTATGTTTTTCATTATATCCTCCATAGCTGTGATAATAGCCTGTGAGTTGCTAAGGGCAGCAGGATTGTTTGGTTTTACAGGTATGAAAAATGACATCTTTAATTTTTTTTTCTCAGTACTGTCATTTCTGACAACTCTGTATTGTGGTATGAGGTTTAAAACTCAAAGGATTAAGATGTTAAATTAATCTTATGGTGAATTAAAAGGGGTTTTGTTCACATTTTCTCACACAATAGTTACTTGCATGGTAGATATTGACCACGACGTTTCAACTATGTGCTGCACGTCTTCATCAGGTGATAGTGTTGATTTACTGACTACAACTATTAGTACCCTTGTTTGCTAGTGATTGGTGTATCACTAACCCCACTTGGTTGGTGGGTTTTGACACTATCGACTGATTAAGACCTACAGTATGAAGATGAAATGTCACTTTTCAGAGAATTGATAAACAAAACCCTTTATTGACATATCCCCATGAAAAAATTCATAAGATGGCATAAGTATAATTTTTTATATTTTTCTTTATTTTTATCATTAACCTAACTGTAAAAGTAGAAAAAATTTTTTTCTGCCAGTGCCACTAATTTAAAAGACATAGTGTTAAAAGGAAATAGTACTTTAAAGTACTAGTGTCTTGCCTTTTTTTAGCTGGAGCAACAAACTGGTTAGGAATTAAGCTGATCTTCAACAGAATTCCTGGAGTGTTTTTCAGGTATGATAAGACAATCTATGTAGCAGATTTTGCTGAAACGAAAGAAAGTGGGAGACTTTTATTTTGTCTATTTTTTTTTCATGTATTTGTAGTACAGCTCATGGCTGCCATGATCCTCTAAGAAAAAAAATCATTACTTTAGGGAGGGAAAAATCTTTGACCTGTTAAATGAGACTTGCTCAGCTTCAACTTTAACATTATTTCAAGATTGCCCAAAGGGAACAGTGAATGAAAGCGAGACCAGCGGACAGTTCTATAGCTTCTTACATGTTGTTATGCCAGAAGCAGAGGCCCTTTGATCTTCATAGATGAGTCTGGAAGAGGAAGGGGGTCCCTTCCTCTTCTGACTTATTTAGGAATATTGAAGGGCCTCTCCTCACAGGGTAACATATAGTAGGCCTAATATTTAAATTGTTTTGTTAGTTACAAGGTTCACACACACCTTAAAAGTCCTTAAAAGTCCTAGAATTTTAAAATAAAAATTCGTGGCCTTGAAAGTCCTTGAAAATTGCAGTCGCTGCTGGAAAGTCCTTGAATTTCAATGCAAACTTTATAGTGTGTGTAGAACTCCAAAGAGAAAGGAGCAAACACAGAAAGACCTTCAGAATAAAATCGCTCATGTTGTGGAAGAACTAAAAAAGATGTAGACTCAAGGCTCTTTTTTGCACTGAATGGAGTCGTTGAAAAATGGGAGATGTGTCGTTGAAAGCCCTTGAATTTTTTGCTCAAAAAGGGTACAAACCCTGTAGTTAATGAAACTGAGCTTAGAGTTATGACTTAACATAAGTCAAAGACAATTAAAAGTTTTATGTTGCTTTTTGGCTTCATTAGTAGTTAGCGGTGCTACAAAGTAATATTGTTATCAAGTACGGAGTTCTGAGGATCATTAAATTTTAAACCTGATTCAGGAAGACTGTTAAAACAAAGATGTTACAAGTTACGTTTATTTTTGTAGTGTTACTTATTGTATCCTGATGTCTCTTTGACAGTGGTGCTATCACCAAACACTTTACAGTTGCCAAGAAACTGATGGCCAATTTTGTTTTGGACGGATTTTTCAATCCATTACAAGTGAAGAGATATCTATATGATAAGATTCAAAACCATTTAACTGCAGAGTACATTGGTATGTGTTATCCAAGTTGAGATTATTATTGTTGAGATTATTATTGTGATTCAGTTAAGCACCCACCATATAGGTAAGAAAAGGCAATAAGAGCCAAGCCTCAAGTAAGCGCCCAGCCCCAAACCCCTCCCCAAAATTGACCTTACCAACGATGAGATTGAAATTGACCAAAATTTAATACAGTCAAACACTGCTTTATGAACACCCGCTCAATATGGACACGTCGTCATTATGGAAGTTGCTTTTTCCATGGAGAAATAAAGCCTTTACATTTTCTCTAAATTCAACCCGCTTAATATTTACACCTCGTTAATACAGAAGGGGTCATAGTAAGTGTTCGTATTAACAGAGCTTGACTGTACTACTGGAGATTTCCCTGAAGACAGAGTTTACACTTTCAATGATCAGTTAAAATGATGAATTTTTTGTCAATAACGTAACCTTTTACAATCATTGACTTAACAGCCACTGCACAGCGTTTGCGGACGTTCATCAGTGATATCCTGAAAACCTTATGTTTTATGAAAATCCAGCTACATGGATAGAATGTCATAGAAAGAGACAAAAAGTGAATGGGGAGAAATCAAACAGAAAATGAAAAGTTATGCGTGGAGCTATAATGAAACAGAATACCTATCTATTTGCATTAAGAACATAAGCAGATTGACAAGCTGTAAACAAAGTTTAGGATAGGATTTCCTTGATTTTATCTTTTCCCCAAATGTTAGCTTTTTGTTTGTTTGTTTTTTGGAAGATCTGCTGTAGGTGATGAATTAGTTGAATAGAGACTTTTTTATTAACACCTGATGGTTTTTGTAACAGATAATCAGCTGGATGAACTTCTTAATTCTTCAGGCGTAGAATCCATCATAGATGAGCAGTTAGAAGCGTTTATGGGCTCAGCTGAAGGTTTTTGATTGCTTTGTTTATTTCTCCCTTTTTTTATTCCCTTCCTGAGTTCAGTTAGTTAAAATGTGGAAAGGCACATCAATATTGTACCTAGAACCTTGATTTAAGTGGTGGCATTTTTTCGGCGGTCCTCTCATGAATCGCCGTTGGCTTATTAGGCATTTTGCTGCCTCAACAACAACAAAACACTCCTGGTCCTCTCTAGCTAAGCCGTATATAAGCAGCTGTTTACTTTCCAAAGCCAAGTTCATAGCATTTAGAATTAAAGATGGAACTTAGTATAGTTTAACAAAAGGATCAAAACAGTCCAAGTTCACAAACACTGAAAATTCATGACACAAAGGCTAAGAACAATAAATGAAACACAGAACGAGGAAGTAGAGTTTGGGAAGAGGCAAAGATTAAAGAATGGATGGGATTTTTTGTGTTTATGCTCCACCTCAACAACAACTTGTAAAGTTCGCAGGATTAGCTCAGTCGGTAGAGCTCTTGACTACAGAGCGGGAGGTTGCGACAACTCACTTTGACTCCAAAGAAGATAGCTAGGGTCTTAAAATGACTGAGAAATGACGGTACTACCTTTGCCCTGCAAATGGCTAGACCTTTGCGTGGCTCAGATGATCACGTAAAATGGTGGTCCCGTCTCCAGTAGGAGACGTTAATATAGTGTCCCCAATTAGCACGATCGTGCTAAAGACATTGACGCTCAAATAAACTGCATTCTTAATTTTTTAATTTTATTTTTTTGGTAAGCAGAGGTATATAAGTGCGTGTATAATTAAACACGGTATATCTAGCTAGGTTTTGATGTAGAAAGTAGTCGCCAGAATAAAAAAATCTACTTTTTTTTTTCAGGTCGAGACACAGGTAGCCCAAGCTCACTATGAGAGCCCTGAACAACATTATCCTACTTAGCTAATTAATTACTCATACAGCAAGAAAATTATAAGACGTTGTATGGAGAAATATTCTTTGCTCACTAAATTAGCAAAATGTACATTGAATATCGCTTTGAAGCTTACCTTTAGCGTCTTCTTGTTTTTCTTTGTATTCTGACTGCATTTCAGACCTCCTAGGCACTGTTTAAGGCCTATTTTGGAGCGACAGTTTTTCACCCAGATGACAGCTCCAAAAAAGGCCTTAAACAGTGCCTAGGAGGTTTTACTTCAGACAACTGTCATTGATTCGGGGGGTGAGGAGATTTACGGCGTTTGAAAGGAATTAAATAATAAATGAATTAAATGTTTTATAAAAGCACCCGTTTTAAACAAGTGTATCAACTACGTTTGTCCCTGATTGTATTTATATGAGTAGAAAGTTTTGTATTGGCTTTGTTGTTTTTTTTTTCTTTTTTTCAGGCTTTCTTTTCCCAACCGCATAAGTTGCGTCTCAACTACGATGATGTTTGCGTTTATTTTGACATTGCTTCTAATTATAGGCCTTAGACTACGCATGCTCGGGATCAGCAAAGCTAAGCTAAAGCCGATAGTGAGACCACATCTTATGAGTATGAAGACAACTATTGTACCTTTGGTAAGACGCAACTTTTTATAAAAAAAAAATTCAGTACAAGCTATTACAGTTGCTCTTTCAATTACAAAACAACTTGCAGCCCAAACTATTTCAGTTATATTTTTGTGTATACTGGTGTTTTTGTTTCAGTTACTGTCTTCTTTAGAGTCGATGGAATTATTGAATGCTGAACATCTAAGAGAACAAGTACGTGTCTTAAAATCACATCTTAACGTCGCTTTACACTTAGTGAATTTGATTCCTGATCACTGTCTAGCAACAACGTATCGTTTACATTTCTGTAAACTCCTCAAGAGTGTGATAGGTTGGTATTTTGTTGAATGCCCAGACTTCCAAGGGATATTAATAATGACTGCTGTGTGTCCAAATATTGTTTTGAGAAGTACTTTAAAAACTTAAAATCTACATAAACCAGAAAAGCAGTGCAGTCGTAATAAAATGATCTCAGGTGATCTCGACACCACAATTTAAACACTCAGATAAAAACATACTCCAACCACTGCCGTGGTTTGGGCGGGAAAGGATAAAAATAAAAGCCCGTGTGTTAGAAGCTATTTATAAGAGTAAATGCAGTTGTGGAATACCATTTTAGCTGCAAGTGTCTGTCCCTTAAGCCAATAAAATGCAGGAATAACAGCCTCACGTTACCACTCTCCTTGTAAATTTTTTTTAGCACAACCGTTGGTCGTTTTTGCTCAGTATTTGTTAAAGTGCTGGTATTTTTCTTCCAACTGCTAGATTGTAGACCTGATATTAACAAAGACCCAAGAGCTGTCGGCAGAGCAGCTTAAATTTGTAAGTAAACAGTCTCCACTGATGTTAACTGACCAGGATTTTCTTTAAGGGAGGTGGTGTAATCAAGTAACGAACTCATTGAAGAGTCTAGCTATTATCTGAATACTTGAGCCCATTTTATGAATGGTGGACCAAAAACAGTAGAATAAAACTTAAAGTTATATACGGTCAATTTAAGTGCCTCCTCATTCATTGACTTCCTTTTGGGCCATGGCGATGAAGTTGCGAAAACGTGCGACGAAAGTCCCAAATGTTTGAGCGAGAAGTCGCCCGAAAAAGCAACGAAATTTCCGCGAAAACAAGCATGTCTGACGGATGGTCCCACCAAAACGGAATTCTAGAGAGTCTACGTCCTTTGCAACACTCGTGTTTACTTGACTATCCATACATTTGTATGTGGTTTGTTATTCCCACTGCACGTGACTCTTGCCACGTGGTTCTCTTCCACGTGACTCTCCTTATTTGTCCAGCTCATCAGGACGTGGTTCCCTTTTGACTTGATTAAGACGTCTTTCAAAAGCACGTGACTTTCCTTATTTGTTCAGGTGGTGAAAGCGGCAGTATACAGCCATTTGAGTTGGATTGTTTTCTGGGGAAGCGTGTTAGGAGCTATTGTCGGATGCCTCGCAGAACTCGCCTCTGTGTATGTCAAAGGCACGTGACTTGTGGAATAAAGAAACGTTATTCATCTTGAATCAGGTTCTGTGCCTCTAAGAGATATATGGAAGGAGCGTTACTGGAAGCGCGTCTGTTTTCACTGGCTAATAGACCCGGAGATCTCTGTATAAAAACGAAATGCCTTTTTTAATTGAGTGAGTACTTGCAAAGAGAAACGGGCTCGAAAAACTGCAGAGTGTTTGTTGTAACTGGGCATTGCAAATTCCTGTGTGAGTTCAAAACAAAAGTTAAGTGATCTCTTAGTGAGAAGGTGCACAAGATGACTGAAGCAAAGGAAATCAACCGCAAAGTTAAAAGTGAACGTTGGGGCACACGAAGACATAGTAATTGATCGTTGCCCTTGTGACCAACTGTCGACTCGTGTCAGTTCATTATTCTGTAAAATTAATCTCAGGCATGATCTTAAACAGCAACTTAAGTTGATGATCAAAGTTACTTCTTAGATTCTGTAGATCTTCACGTTTCACTTACGCAACGACCCATTAAATACGTCAAAATGGCGGCGCGGAATTTGTGAAGCCATAGTGCATTCGAGGTGTCCCAAACATACCTCATTGTACTTCTGGAGTCTCCAAACTCGTTACTCGTCACCATCCCCCTGGGCTGTCAGGATAAATAGGACAATTGCACGATGACGATATTCGACTACAACTACCCGAATTCATTTCGGTTTTTGCTTTGGTATTTAAATTTGTCAATCCCGCTGAGGATTAAAGAACAATAGCCTTAATTTGCACAAGAAAACAACAAACTCAAGGATTCTGGTAGTTGTAGTAAAATGACGTCATCGTGCAATTGTCCTATTGGAGAAGTGACGTGATCTGTCGTATGAAACTGGGTGCGCGACGCGATCAGTCCCTTATGTTCACACTATACCGGATATAGCTACTGTAATGTCGCGGCTCTTCTCACTGCCATACCGTAAAGTTGCGAAAGTAACGACCCTCGTTACTTTCGGATTGAGCACCCTTCTTCTATCGCTTCTTTCGGGGCCTCGCTACCACTTTCTGATTCCTAAAACGTGTACTCCACATGGGCACTTCAAAAAAAAATCGCAAAAAATGTAAAAGGAATACTTTTGAAAGTAGGCAATGTATATCCTGTACTTTAAGAGTTTTGAATAGGAATGTCAAATGATCATTATTGATGTTCAGGCTATCTATCATATCCGTTATTTTTTGCAAAAAGGGGAATTAGCTTCGAGGTCTCTACTTTCGGAGGGTCGTTATTTCGGGGGGATCGCTGCTTTCGGGATTTTGCTAACACCTGTGACATTTTATCGCTACTTTCGGAAGGAGAGGGAGCGAGAGAGAGAATAACTTTAGAGAGGTACTACTCAATATTTTAGTAAAAAAGCAGAATTGCTAATCCTTTAGTTAGCAATATGAATTACAAAGAAAAACGTGTCTCAACAAACTAATTTCGATATATTAAAATTCATACTGGGCTCCGAGGCTTGGCGGAATAAAGCAAAAGAAATCATCTTGAGGCTCAGCAGTGAATAATACATTTCTTATGTTCTATTCCCCCAAGCCTCGGAGCCAAGTATGAATTTTGATATATGTAGAAACGGAGACCTTCGCGGCAGAAAGGCCACTGGAAGCTGGCTTTGTCCCGCCATGCATGCTCGCCTCATCTTTACCTACCAACCTGTCAAATGGGTGAGATTTCCGTCTTGTCATGACCGGAATTCGTGAAACGTTCCAGCGACTTCCGAATATTTCCGTCAAGACGTCCGAACGTTACTGGAAATGTCCGAAGATGTTCCAATGACCTTTGAGGAATTTGAATGTATTGATACTGAACCGAACGTTGTCTCCTTAAAACGAGCCAGCGCGGCCCATTTGATTGGCCCTAAGGGAATGTTGCCATTGTAACAAGTGCATCACAACAGTAACTAGACCCTATGGGAGCCTAAACTACGCCGTCGTGGTTGTGGAATTAATTTTTGAACGCAGAGTAATAGTAGGAACTGATATTTTTCCGAATACCCTTCCGCACAAATACCCTTACTTTTCTCCTTTGAGTAACAGTTCACCGGAAGTCTGCTAAGTGCATGACCGCGTTTCGATTATAATTTCTGTCATAAATAAATTGCGCACGACGAGATCTCATTTCTACTTCCTTTATTTCCTATGCGGTAACACTTTCCTTATGCACAGTAAACTCCACACCTTCTCCAGCAGCGTGACCAACTAACATCAGTACACTCCAACTCGCTGGCAAATGCAGAATCTCCATACCGAGGATGCTTCACGTCGGTACAACATCGCAACAGAAGCTTTAATAAAATTATTACATGAAAAGCAATAACACAATGCAAAAACAAGAATAAAAACACCTACTCTTACAAACAAGACTAAAAGAAGAACAATGATAATGATGCTTATCACAACGGTTACGAAACCACGGTAACTGCGTTTTGCTTTTCCTTGTTGACAAGGGCGATAGGAACAAAACAGAATCGCAAAACTCAAAACAGAATCAAAAAACCCAAAACACAATCACGAAGCCCTGAAACAGAATCGCAAAACCCAAAACAAAATCACAAAACTCAAAACAGAATCGCAAAATTCAAAACAGAATCACAAAACTCAAAACAGAATCACAAAACCCAAAACAGAATCACAAAACTCAAAACCGAATCACAAAACACAAAACAGGATCGCAAAATTCGAAACAGAAACACAAAACTCAAAACCGAATCACAAAACACAAAACAGGATCGCAAAATTCGAAACAGAATCACAAAACTCAAAACCGAATCACAAAACACAAAACAGGATCGCAAAATTCGAAACAGAAACACAAAACCCAAAACAGAATCACAAAACTCAAAGAGACACACAAAACTCAAAAGGGGTCGACCCAAAAAAAATTTAGAAGGGTTTGTATGGAGTTTTGTAAACATAACTGGGCTACGATCTCAGAGACAATTTGCCCCCAAATGCTCATTTTCGGCAAGTAGGCCTCTTGGACATTGTTCTTTCAGAATATCCTGACAAATCCCATAATTGCATAAATTTCATTTTTATGACGTCACACTTTAGTACTCTATTATCATGAATATTAACAATTTTTTTTCTCACTTTATAGAAAAAATCACATTTCGCTTTCATTTTGCTTTCTAGGGGGTTCTCAACCAAGACGGAAAATCACGGAGATTCCGGGGTGGTATAAAATTTCTAAGGGGGTGGGGGGCAACTTATTACAACAGTTTCTCCTGAATTTTCTGAACTAGATTTAAAACAAAACAACTATTATGATAATACACCGATAGAGAAACAATGCAATTATGCAAAAGAAAATGCTTGCATTGCTTTTTGATTAAATGTCTTCGTTGGAAGATGTATCAAACCGGACTGGGGGAGGCGACGAAGTGCATAATTTTTTGAAATACATGCTGCACATTTTCGGCTGTTGTAGGGTTGACACACTCGTAAGCGTAGGCTGATCTGTCTTGAGAAGGCCGAGGGGCAGATGGGGTGGGGATTTTTGTGAAACAAAGAAATCGGATGCAGAGAGCGCCTGGCACTCTATGATCTAGGCGACTTTCAGCAACAAGGGGTCATGAAACTTGCGTTTTCATAATTTATTTCTGCTGGAGATAGAACTTCAACATGAGACTACTCGGTAAGATGGGTCGTAATCTCTACGGCGAGTAGGATAGAAGAAAGATAAAATAAAGCACATTTCAGTTTACATGTGTCATTACCCTTTTTATATACACGGTCTGTCATTCATCAGCATTATTTCCAAGGTCATTAGTATCTGTAGCCCTTGAACACCGTTCGCCTCTCTTACACGATAAGATGTTTGATGTGCGAATCACACGCTATTTACGTCATTGACTGATAAAAACGTCGAAATTGTTTATGGGAGGCATTTAATTTTACCAGTGTTTCCAGAAAAAAAAATCCAAAATCTGAGGCATCTTTTCATGGAACGATAACCCATTAAACAGCCTGGTCCATTTAATTCATAGCGTACCGCTCACCGTATTTCGTGAGCTGCACTTTCGTTATTTCTCCTTCGAAGATTATATTTAATGTTAATCAGGTATTCTAGTTGTCTTACGGTTATATGAATGCCGTGGTAAAGGGACAAAAACGTAACGATGCTAACGTACTTCTAACCAGTGAACCAATATGAGGGTATGCAATCTTCCAGCGAAGCAAAATTGCTCACAACCGGACAGGCGGGAAGAGCATTAATGAAAACTAATTGGTGCTGAATAGAAATACGAAAACAGTGGGGGGGGGGGGGGGG